GTATGAAAGCCCTGAAGCAAGAAGCAAGAAGCAATTCTAATATGACTGTGGGCCACAGAGTGAAAGCAAAAATGACCCGACACTAAAAACTGAGTGCATTTTGAGAGCAATGAATGGTTTAAGTTAGAGGAGGACAAAATAATATATTGAGCTAATGATGTTTACTTAGCTTATATTGTGGAAAATGAACTGGAGAGAAGCAAGCATGAATAATGTATCTAAACAGGACTTATTGTAATTGTCAGGACATAATTATGGTGGAAGCCCAGGTTGAAAGAACTGAATATGCTTACAACATGTTTCAACCAAATCCATTCCCAGTCCTTTATTTCCAATTCTTCTACTATTCCCTATCCCCCATCATTTATATTCTCAACTCCATGTTCTCTCTCTCTCTCTCTCTCTCTCTCTCTCTCTCTCTCTCTCTCTCTCTCTCTCTGAAACATACTGAGTGTACTTCATTTTACATTTTGTGTTTGGGTGTAAGACCATCCATTGGAGCATGGGTAACCTCTTGGTGGCATGGGGAACCACTTATTGGGCACATATCTGCAGAAATTGACTCCCTCTCCCCCAGAAGCCATCAGCTGTTAATAGACTCTCAGCTGAGAGTGACTTCTTTGTCCTTGTTTGAATTTTGGCTGGCTTGATCTTGTGCATATAGTCATAGCTACTGAGAGTTCATACATACAGTGCCTACCAAATCAAGCACTTAATGTTTGAGTGTTGATTCCTACTACTTATGGCCCTAACAATCTTTATTTCCTTTCTTCAACATTGACTGAGACTTGAGGCCAGGCAGTGTTACATAGACTTCACATTTAAAGTTGAATACTCCATAGACTTATTTTCTGTGTCTGATCAATTGTGGGTCTCTCTTTTTTTTTTTTTTTTTGGTTTTTCGAGACAAGGTTTCTCCGTGGCTTTGGAGCTTGTCCTGGAACTCACTCTGTAGACCAGGCTGGCCTCGAACTCACAGAGATCCACCTGCCTCTGCCTCCCGAGTGCTGGGATTAAAGGCGTGCGCCAACCTGGGTCTCTGTATTAATCAGTATATACTACCAAAAGAAATTTTCTGATGAAGTGTTGAAAAATGCGCCAATTTAGAAATGAGGGGGCAGTTTAGTACTATGACATTTGGCAGGATAATAGTATTGGGTTCTCTCCCATACCTATTCTACATACTTCAGTTATAGGTCATGAAGAAACAACGCTGATACTGACTTGGTAGTGTCATTTCTTCTGAATAGATTTCACAGTGCTAAAGGATTCTGTTGATGTTACCAGAGAAGAAACATCTTCCAAAACAAATAAAACAAAAAACACACCCAGATGTGAACTATGTGAGCTACAATAATGACTGTCCTGACAAGATATGGCTACTGGTGCATTAATGGCGTGAATGCTATGGGAGAAACTAACTACTTCTGACTGGATTTAGATGCTGATTCACAAGATGAAACTCGTGCTTGGTATAGTTAACTAGGTCTCCACCCCTTGCAGTATATTTTAATCATAAATCTGGTATTAGTTGTTAATATGGTTTAAGAGTAGAAGAAAAAGCTGTGTTCAGGATGATTCTTGATTTTTTTTGACTCAACTGAGTAGGAAGTGAAACAATATTTAAGACAGGAATTACAAGATGGAGAGACAGTTTGGGAATGTGGTTGGAATATTTTGGAGCTCAGTACTGGATATACTGAGAGGAGATACTAAGAAGTTAAAAGTAGTTCTAGAGCTGAAAAGCAAGATCCTAGGGAAAAACCCATTCAAAGATTGATTTGTAAGAAGATAATCTTTTCATAGTGGAATATACTTTTAAACACACAATAATTATATAGGGAATTATAGTTTTTCAACTCAGGAAAGCTTTATGTATAAAATTAGTGTCATGGTGATTTAATAGGCACTCATTTCTTAGATATAATTCATTGTACTGTGAGTTATCAAAATATTTCAGCACTTAAAAATAGATGTCCTTGGAACAATAGCCAGCAATTGAGTTGTTTTGTCTTATTCCATTTCCTGACATTGCCAACTCCTGTATTATTTATTTGCATAAAATGTAAACAACATTTATAATAAGAAAAGACATTTTTACATTAAGAAAATTTATGTTTTCCTAATACGGTGTTTGTTTTTCATGTGTGATATAAATTTAGAAAAAAATACATCTAATATTGTTGATAATATTACTTTCACGAAGACCATGCTTTTTATCTTCAGGGGGAAAAAGCAACATTAAATATGAGAAAAGACAGAATGAAAAGTCAGTAGAATGACGTGTGAACTTTTTGAAGACAAGAGAGTTTGCCTATTATTGGCTTTTATCTCAGCATTTAGACAATAACCTATCTACTTACAAAAGATTAATTACGTTTTAAGGAATAAATTTATTAGTGACTTCTGTAGTTACATTGTGATTGTTAGAAAATTTTCTGAAATCATAGAAAGTTACTCATATTTAGAAAACACTATAAGATGTACATATACTATGTGTATGCATGAATGTATATACATGTATCTCTGAAAGGAGAACACAATGGTGTTTGTTTTTAGTTTGTATTTCAGTGCATTCTCAACTCCCAAGTAAGATTAGTGGAAAGTTTCCAGTATTTACTTTGGGCTGTTTTAATTTTCATTTCCATTAATATATCAGGCATCTCACAGATAACATTTATTTTAGTTCTGAAAATACTCAAAACTTTCTTGTCCTAGCAAGGCAAATGATATATTGACATACTGAATAATGCATTATATTCAAGGAATCTATTTTCCAAGAGATACATACTCCCCAGTAGATCATACCACAAGAGAATACTATACTACAATAAGGTAATCCATAAATAAAACCAAGGAAGCTATAATGTTAATAATGATTTTACTAAATGTAACAAAAATACAGAAAAATATCCTACAAAATCTATTTTTCACCAGTTCCCATGGAAATTTTAAAATTAAGAAATATATCAAATGTTTTAAAAAATTCGAGGTACTTCACTGTGGCTGATAGACATAAACGTGAAAATGGCCTAGTCTCTGTCTTTAGAATGCTCTGTATCTGCTAAAGAAGTCAAGATTACATTCAGGAAATAGTTGTTGAATTCCTACTGTGCAAACAAGTTTAAGTTAAGTCTACTGAAGAAAAAAGAGAAGCACGACTTGATCTGTCATGAAAGTACTGTATGTTTGGGTGTGTGTTTTGTGTGTATGTGTGGGGATGTGAGTACTTTATAGGAGTCAGCATACATGAAATTTTAGTGCAATGTAGCAGGATTGATAAAGTGGTAATACCTTGTAAGGAAGCAGCACAACATAGAGGAGTAAAAGTGAGATAAAATACAAGCCGAGTTACATTTTCCTTTAAAAAGAATTTGTAAACATAGCTTGCTGGTTGAGCATTCTCGGCTGACCCAGCACACATTAATGGGGTCTTATCTCAAGAAGTGTATCCCTTAAAGTTTTGAATGCTTTGCCTCCAAAGGTTGTTTTTTTGTTTTTTGCTTTTCTTTTCTTATGAATATTATTTCTAAAAGTTTGTTTATATAGTATGTGTCTGTCATGTCTGCGCACTATGTGCATGAAGCGCCTGGAGAGGCCAGAAGAGGGTGTGAGATTCTTGGAACTTGAGTTACAGGTGGTTGTAATTTGCGATGTTGGTACAGGAATAGAACTGGGTCTTCTAGTGGAGCAGCCAGTGCTCTTAACCATCGAACTACATCTCTAGCCTTCAGTTTATTTTATTATTTTTAACAGACACACAAAGTTGTTCACATTCATGTGGAATCAGGTAGTGTTTTGAAATACTTATGCTTTCGTTAATATTTGAATAAGGTTAAGTATATCTCTTCCTTGATATTAAATATAAGTGTAACCTAGAGATTGAGAAGATCTTTTATTGCTGAGGAAAAATCTAGTGTGACTAGGTTGTAGAGACCGAGAAGAAAACAAAGTATGGAGCACTATAAGCACCTGAGGCAGTAGACAGTATAAAGAATTGTCACACTACTGCACCATGCATTTGACTTATTTTGAAATTCCTGGAAAATAACTACACGAACAATTCCCGAGATTAAAAAGTACTTTCCTTAATCCAATGCAACCCCCCTCTCTTTTAACTTTAGTATTTTCAGACAGGCAAGCCTTTTAAATAAGGTAGAGTGGGAGGGGACAGACCTTGAAAATACTCATGAGAGCTGTTAATTGTTTGGAATAGACAACCTTAAGCTCATTTATCAATTATGACCACTTTTATACAAGTCTATTTTACTTTAATCATTTCTCCAGCATCTTTGCATGAGAAAGTTGTATGGGCTCTTCTTTTTTGGTTGGAAATCAGATTCTGAAACAAAAGATTTATTAAGCATCTACTTTTGTTATTATTCTTTCACAGTCTTTTTCTCTGCCTCACTTTGAAACTTACATTGCTAGGCAGCTGTTTGAATTGACTAGAGAATAGAGGAGGAATTCCATTCTGTGGAAACTAGGCAAAGGGATTTTTATTTGGTGGTTCCCCTCCTTGCCCCTACACTGGAAAGACACAGGGGCGAAAAATACACAGAATATAGTTGGACAGCATAGTAATGAAGTGAAAATCGATGCCTCTTGTTCCAAAAATACAAATGCAGACATGCTAGGGGAAAGAGTTTCCTTGCGTGAATGAAAAATCTCCTTTGTCCAGAATGAACCCCTTTTTATTTCACTCCTCCTTGAGTGTCTCTGTCCAATTTTTGCTTGGTAATTGTCAAGGGGTGTACAAGACTCCTCATGCTTGACAAGTCGAATACTTACATTTCTTTTCCACATCAAACCTCCAGGATAAATAAGCTATTTCACTTAAGACTGCAAAAGGAACAGAAGAACTTTTACCACACTTGTTAACATTTCAAATACCTTATTTTTGTCACCTCTCTGGACCCTTCAGCGTAGAACTACAACACCCAGAATGCACTGTTTTTCCTTCCGCCTTCTACGGCGAGCCTGCCTGAGGAACTCTCAACCACAAACTACGGTCACATGACACATTTCCTGTTAAGATGGCGGATAATCTCCCTTCGGACTTTGATGTGATCGTTATAGGGACGGGTATGTGTGGCCGTGGTTTTTCCTAGACAGTATTTAGGAAATAATTCTCGCCTTTTAGTTTCTCTGTCAGTGGCGAGGGCTGGAGAGAAACGGCGGGGGTCGAGCCTGGGAGGGAGGAGGCAAAGGAAGTGAGGTAGTCTGGAGTCAGCGCGGGACTTGGCAGCTCCAGGGAGGGGCTTGGAACCTCGGTGTTTTGCGCCGTTTGAGTAGGGGTCGATCTGGTCGATGCCGATTGCTGAGGTTGGTTGCTGCGGTGATTCCTGTTAATTTCCTAGAGGAGGGTGGGTTTGCAGTGTCATGAGAGTGGAGGGTCGGTATTTGATCAATGGAGACGCCATTGGCGAACATAATTGCCTCTTTCCCTCCTTGTTGATTTCAAGGTTATTTTCCCCATCGTTTTCTGTCGCCATTTCATAAGACTTTTTCAATATACTTACATGATTCTAGGATACGTTGCAGCTCAGATGTAGCTTAATTTGCAGTTTATAAGAATGATGGTCATTCCCCCCACCCCCCGCGTGTATTTCTACTACGGGAAAGGAAATGGACTCCTTTTTTACGTGTTGAGTACCCTAAGGGCTTTTCCCCCCCCCTGAGGTAGCCTTTATTCTGGCATTCTGGTGTTTAAAGCACCCTTGTTTATGATGCAGAAAGGAAACATATTGTTTTCTTTCACGCATCTATACACCACAACTAGATGTGCTGAGAATAAGCCCCAGTGTTTCGGATCCCGTGTCTGACCTTGGCTTCTCCTTGCTTTTTCATCATTAGTTCTCCATGTTTTGGGTGGAGCCAGAAATCCTCTTCAGCTTCTAGTTGATTAGTTAATCCTACAATACTTGGCAGCAATGAACATTTCTTAATTATAAGGGATGTAGTTTGCAGAGGAAACAAGAGATAGTGCATAGGTTTTTCTACTGTCTGTAGAATGTGGTAGGCAGCAGAAGCTTTGGTGAATGGGTTTCTGCCCATTGTGTTAATAAATTTAGTTTTCTCTGTTCCCAAAGAGTAAGAGTAGTCATATTTCCAGGTTTAGAGTAAAAACAATAGCAACTCGTTTTCAAATGCGTATCATTTCTCAATCAATAGACTAAGCAATCCATAAAATTCCAACAACAACCTTCCTAGAATGGGTGTTCTCTTCAATACACAGAAGAGGAGAAGCATCCTGGAGCTCTAACTTGCCAAAGTCACACAGCTGGTAAATGTCCAAAGACCAGCAGTATCCAAGAAATGGAATCACTTTTTGTTTACTCTCACAATTGTACGATGTTAGCAGAAATAACTGGGAAAACGTACTCTAGATCATGTTATTTCAGTTTCCACAATTTTGAATTTAAGGTGCTTAAGTCAAATATCCTTTAAAGGAGTTATCGAAACACAAATTTTCATATTGTAGCTATATGGGAGTAATTAATTGTTCTCAGAACAGTGGAGGTGTGTTTATTCCCAGCCTGAAGATCACTACCACAATCGCTAACCTATTGCAATGAGCAGATGTTGGATGAGACTATTCACCTCTCCCAGTCTGCTGTAAAACTGAGAACACCATCCATTTTAGAGAAAGGTGATTTTTAAAAAAAATGTACTTGAATTCTATTTGATTTGGGTGATGCGTTAACTTTTATTAAATGTATTAATTCTTTTAGATACATTCCAAACGGAAACATTTGGTAAAATTCATTTTTCAAATAAAATGATTCTGACAGTTTTTTAAAGCATTTTGATTTCTTTCTGAAATATTACGCTGAAGTAGATTTCAAATATGTTGGCATTATTAAATTAATTCATAGATAACTTATAGGAAAAGCAGTGTTTCATCACTTCAGTTCTGTTAACAAAAGCAGAATGAAGTGTATCATTATCAGAAACAAGTAAAGAACTAGGCTGTGAGTTATAGTTACCCTTAAGCAAGTTTCTAGTTTAAGTATCACCAAGAGACAATTGCTTCAGCAAGTAGAATCATCCAAGAATACTGTAAAAGTCCACCTACCTTAAATAATTTTTGTTTTTTCCATTTTTGCATGACCTGGTGTAAAGCTTTTCTTTAAGGTTGTATTTTCAAGATATGGGAAAATAATATCAGAATACCCAAAGAAAGAAAGTTAACACACAGTGCTTGAATTGTGGAGGAACAGATCAAAGACCATTTGGAATCTCAATAGGGAGGAAAGGTGGTCATAAATAAATGATTAGAATGTGATCTTTGGCTTGGGTACACTATTGTCATTTCAGAATAATTTGGCATTTAAAAATAATTTTAGCAATAATTTTGTGGGTTTTGGAAAAGTTATCATTGGGTGCAAGTTAAAAATTATCTCAGCAACAAATTGTATGATCTCCAGCAAGGCCAAAAAGTCACAAGTGAGGAAGAAATCTTAGTTATAAAGGATATATGATAATGTTGACATATGCCATATATAGGAGCATAATTCAGCTCCTAACTTGGAATATATTCTTGTTTTAGAAGGAATTCTAGCATGCTTAAAATGCACTATTAGGAACTCATTTGGAAGCACAGACTCTTATCACCCGTGTAGAATATGTTTGTCTGGTGCTATTAGGTGTACAGCTGACTGCAAACTCAGAGCTCTGTAAGAAAGGGAGTATACATGAAGTGGCATAATGGCTTGGTATATATTAGTGTAAATACACACAGACACACAGTCTAATTCCTATAGAGAAACCACTCCCCTGTGCTTATAATACTTACTGTATTGCCTTTTCTTAGAAACCGTTTGGACTTGCTCAGAGTCATAATTCTACAGTTTTTCCTAAAACCATGGAAATTTTTCTTTATGCTTTCATAACACCATAAAGGAATTCAGTGTGTGTACCATTCCTTCTCGACTATACTGCTTTATCTTTGCCAAAAGTTCCTCCTCTAAGAGACTGTGTAGTAAGCTAGCTCATTTAATTTCTTAGTTATTTTCTTGAAGAAGATAGATCTTTTCTTCCCCACTCCCCCTCCCTCCCCTCCTTCTTCCCTCCAGTCTTGTGCTGGTCTTTGAACCTGGGCCTTTGCACATGCTATGGAAGTACTCTACTGAGTCACATCCCCAGCCCCACTTAGACAGTCTTTTAAGAGCTGGTAGCTAAAGCTTCTCCAAGGTAAGGATGTGTGTATGTAGATGATCCTGTGGTCTCTGTAGCCTTTCAAAGAAGTTGAATTTGTGTTCTATATATAGAACTGATTAAAATTTTTTTAAAGCTAAGCTGCTTTTTTCAGGAATGTTGATGTAGATAGCACAATCCCTTTATGATGTATCAGAATGCAACACTGAGTTAGTTTTTGACTGGCAGCTCGTTCAAGGATTGTAATGTTTTTGATAGCAGTAGGGTACTAATTTCTAAACCTTGGTGAATAATAATGCTGTAGGAAGTGGTGCCAAAACTCAGCATAAGTGATTTTCCATATTTACATACTATTTAATACTCAGAATATCTGTGTGTGCTTTGGTTATCATTAATATGCACACATTCCCTATATCTCCAAACATCCTTACACCTATTGTTGAGAAAGTTTGTGTGTGTGTGTGATTTATTTTTTAATATCCCAACTATAGTTTCCCCTCCCTCTTATCCTCCCATCCCCTCCCCCTTCCCTCTGCCTCCCTGCCCTCTGCCCCCCTCCTTCTATTCAGGAAAAGGCGGGCCTTCCATGGATATCAACCAAACATGACATACCAAGTTTCAGTAAGACTAAGTACCTCCCCATGTATTAATTTTGGGCAAGGCAACCCAGTATGAGGAGTAGGGTCCCAAAAGCCAGCCAAAGCGTTAGGGACAGCCCCTGCTCCCAGTGTTTGGAGTCCCACAAGAAGACCAAGCTGTACAACTGTAACATATGCAGAGGCCTAGGTCAGTCCCATGCAGGCTCACTGGTTGTTAATTCAGTCTCTGTGAGCCCCTATGAGCCCATGTTAGTTGATTATGTGGTTTTTCTTGTGCTGTCCTTGATCCCTGTGGCTCCTACAATCCCCGCTCCCCTTTTCCACAAGATTCCTGAGCTCTGCCTAATGTTTGTGTGTGGGTCTCTCTGCATCTGCTTCTATCAGTTGCTGGATGAAGCCTCTCTGATGACAATTGGGCTAAGCACCAAGAGTGGCTTTGTTTTTGAGTTGCAAGTTGCCACTTCTCTGTAGTTCATGAAATGGATGCTAGCCTTTAAATGAGTAGAGTATATAATAATATATATAAAATAAAAGATGTATGTATTCTCTTTATACACATAAAAATTATACTGTCTAGGAAACGTTAATCAACTTAATAGTAAATAAAATTTAAAGTAGTATTTCAAAGGTCCTTTAGACCTTCCATATATTTTGCATGTTTTTACATGCATGTGTCTCATTTATGCAGTATAATGAGGTGATTGACAGTGTGGCTGTGAAATCAGCCAAGTTGAATTTCAATCCCAAGTATGCTTCATGAGCCACCTTAGACACATTCCTTTTTAAGTAGGAAGAGTTCCATCAAGCTGCATTAAATATGAAGAAATAATTCTGATAAAATGTTTATAAAATGTAGCTGATTTTTATGGTTTGAAAGCCATACTGAGGTTTTTTTTTTATGAGACAGGGTTTCTCTGTATTGTTTTGGAGGCTATCGGTCCAGCCCGGCCTCGAACTCAGAGAGATCTGCTTGCCTCTGCCTCCCGAGTGCTGGGATTAAAGGTGAGCGCTACCACCGTCTGGCCTGAGGTTTTTGTTTTATCATTACTAGTTAGCCTGAATGGCTTCAAGGAAGAACTCAGGCTTTTCTAGTGTCCTGGATGATGCTGTTGTAAGATTCATTATCTTCCTCTTCCCATTGTCTACTTGGTTGAAAAGACCTTTGTGTATTGCCACTTTAAAAAAAAAATCAGATTGCGTATCTGGTAGTTTAGAGCTATTCCTTCTTCTCTTGAGTTTGTGTCTCCAGTTTGCATTATTTATCATTTGTTTTGCTTAGATTTATCAGTTCATGTTAATTAGGAGCATAGTGTGAAATGCTTCTTC